AAAATGAACAAAGAGGCTCTCCCTGGTTGCGCAGCTGGTTAGAGCACAAACTGTGAAACTTGCCACAGCTGTTTCAGCGCAAGTTTGATACCAGCCAGGGAGGTGACCCACAGGGTGCAGCAGACCTCTCCTGTCCCGCCTGCTGCTCCTCTCAGCAGTGTGCTTCATCAGTCTACCTTTTTGGCTCCCCACTCTTCCTCCTGAATCCTCTCACCACCCCTTTGCCTCTGGCCTGTACCCCAGTTCTGTATGCATAAATAAATAAATCTTTTTTTTGAAATGAACAAAGAATACAGACAGTAAACTAGACTGAAAAATCACTAGCACTGAAAAAAGGGTAAAAATTCTCTTGCTAAAAGCAATGTTGTTTTTTCCTGTCCCTTATAGTGAACGTAGGAATAGCTTGAGATCAAATCACAGCTCAAGAATGCCGATGATCTTGGTCAAATTTTTAGCTCTCTTTTATAGTTACCTAATGTGTACAATGGAGTTAATCTGCCAAATGACAGTTAAATGTGGTAATATAAGTAAAGTTCTTAATATAGTACCTGGTTGAAATGATAATACTTTGGGTACACTAGTCATATACAGTACTAAAAATGTTTAAAAAGAAAACCTAGCACATAGGTGATTAATGTTTGCAGCAGTTATGTTTGGCAATTTGTAAATATTAGCTAGTATAACTATTATAAAGTTACCTACAGGTGGTCGTGAGTATTTCTAGAAATAAACATTATATATATTTTTTTTATTAAAAAGTTTATTTTTACATCATTTTTCACATTTTTTTTTTCATCTCAATTGTAATCCCCACGGGTTTCCCATCACCAAATCACCCCTGTGCCACCACCATAGTCCCGTGCATTTCCCTCCCTTCCCCCCCGCCCCCGTTTTTGATCCCATTCCCCACTCCACCCCCACAGAATGTCTCTGGTCCATGGTTGTTCATTATTTTTGTTATTTTCTCGCCTGGTCCATTATACTCCTGCTATGAGTGAAACCATCCGGTATTTTTCTTTCTCTTTCTGGCTTATCTCACTAAGCATGATCTTTTCCAGCTCCATCCAAGTTGCTGCAAAGGACATGTGTTTCTCTTTTTTGGTTGTTGAGTAATATTCCATTGTATATATGTACCACATCTTTCTAATCCAGTCATCTACTTTTGGGCATTTGGGCTGCTTCCATGTTTTTCCAATTGTAAATAAAGCAGCAATAAACATGGGGGTACAAGTATCTTTTTCAATCAGTGTTTTTGTGTTTTTTGGGTAGATACCTAGGAGTGGGATTGCTGGGTCATAGGGAAGCTCCATGTTTAGCAGTTTGAGGAACCTCCAAACAGTTTTCCATAGTGGTTGTACTAGTTTGCATTCCCACCAGCAATGCAGGAGAGTTCCTTTTTCTCCACATCCTCGCCAACATTTGTTGTTGCTAGTTGTTTGAAGATGTGCCATTCTCACTGGGGTGAGGTGGTATCTCATTGTGGTTTTAATTTGCATCTCCCTTATTACGAGTGATGTTGAACATTTTTTCATATGCCTGTTGGCCATCTGCATTTCCTCTTTGGAGAAGTGTCTTTTTAGCTCTACTGCCCATTTTTTGATGGGGTTGTTTACTTCATTTTTGTTGAGTTTCATCAGTTCTCTGTATATTTTTGTGATCAGTCCTTTATCGCTACTTTTGTGTGAGAAAATGTTTTCCCAATTAGTGATCTTTCTGTTTGTTTTTAGTAATGTCTCTTTTGCTGTACAGAAGCTCTTTAACTTGATATAGTCCCATCTATTTATCTTTGCCTTCACTATTGTGGCGTTGGGTGCTCTGTCATTAAAGATGTCGCTAAAGTGTATGTCGTGAAGTGTTTGACCCATCTTTGCTTCTAGGTATTTTATGGTTTCCGTTCTTATGTCTAGGTCTTTAATCCACTTCGAGTTGATTTTTGTGACTGGAGTGAGGCAATGATCTAGTTTCATTTTTTTGCATGTAGCTACCCAGTTTTCCCAGCACCAATTGCTGAACAAATTTTCTTTGTTCCATTGTATCTTCTTTGCTCCTTTGTCAAAAATTAGGTGTCCATAAACTCGTGGGTTTATATCTGGGTTTTCTATTCGAATCCACTGGTCTGTATGTCTATTCTTATTCCAGTACCATGCAGTTTATAAACATTATATTTTTTAAACTACGATGAAATTAAACAGTTAAAGTAAAGAGGAGCAGGCCAGATAAAACCCACTGGAATAACATTATCTGGAAATATGATATTTTAATTAAAATACAATTAATCAATAAGCAGGTTAAATATATAGAGGAATAAATTCAAATATAATCAATAATCATCATAAGCATAAATGAACCAAATTACCAATTAAATGATTGACAGCAATTATATTTTAAAATCCAGGTTAAGACCCTGTAGAAGAGAAGGACATACAAAAGTTGAAAGTAAAAGTCGGTCCTTCCTTGGTGGTGCAACGGGTTCAAGCAAAGCAAAACTGGCGGAGTCTGCTCCAGTGCAAGTTCGATCCCCCGCCCTGGAGCTGACCCACATGGCGCAGTAGACCTCTCCTGTCTGTCCTGCTGCTTCCCTCAGCAGTGAGCTTCGTTGATCTGCCTGTTCTCTCCCCACTCTGTCTCTGGCAAGTCCTCTTACCACTCTGTACCTCTGGCCTGTACCCTGCCACTATATGCATAAATAAATAAATCTTAAAAAAGAAAGTAAAAGTAAGTGAAAAAAAAAAATACTTGGCAGAGACCAACCAGAACACAGCTTGCTGGCATATTAGCATTGATTCAGCTTTTGTCTCCAAAATACAAACAAACAAAACTCAAAACATTATTAAGAAAGACTAAATCTATCAAGAAGCCATGTATTATTTTTTCTTTTTTGCATCTGATAAGGGAGGCTTAAAGATAAAAAACAGTGAGTGAGAATTTTATTAAAAAAAAAACTGAACAAATCTACCATATAATGGAAAATTTCGTTATCCATTCACTCATTTCATACAGTAAATATTTCTGAGTGCATGCTAGGAGGTCTTATCATCAGTAATATAGCTGTGAATGAAACAAATTTTCTCAACCTTTTAAAGCTTATGTTTTAACTGAAGGAGAAAGAAAAATGTACAAATAAATGCAGAAAAAACCCTGTGAAAATACGTCATGAATTATGAGATTATAAAATGAACTCCTAGCAGGGAGAGATGAAGGAGGATAAAGTTCTTATCTTTTGAGGATGGTGAAGAGAGAGGGGATAAGGTGAAATGGAGAGCCTGAAAAATAGCACAAGGCCCTCCTTGCTGCAGGAAACTGGCCAAGCTGCCTCCTTGCAAGTTCCATCCCTGCCCCTGAGGTGACCCACAGGGCGCAGCAGACCCTTCCTCTTTTGCCTGCTGCTCCCTTCAGCAGTGTGTTTCAGTGCATCTGCCTGTTCCGCTCCCCACTCTGTCTCTGTGAATCCTCTCACTGCCCTGCACCTCTGGCCAGTACTCTAGTTCTGAGTGCATAAATAGATAAAACAATCTAAAAGAAAAAGGGAAGGTCAGTTTGCAGCCTGAAGATGACTGATGTGTCTGCTTGTTCAGTCATCTCCCAACCCAATATCCCCAAACAGGGCCGACAGAACTGGCACCAGCTAGCCAGGGGCTTCCTGGAATGGGTGATGCTTTCCTGAGGACCAGTGGTGTACAGACCCTGTATGCGCCCCATCAGGATGTCATCCAGAGTGGACAGTCACCAATAGATGGCGCCAGACTGTCATGGGGACCAGCAAGGGTGGCCAGGGAAGTGCAGTCCAGGACTGGGCAGAAGGCATAGTCATTCACTCGTCTGACACTGAAAGACAAGAAAAATAAATCAAAGACAAATGTTTGTAAAGAAGACACAGGAATCCATAAGTTCATAAAGCAAATGATAACCTATAATTTAAGAAAAACTGGAAAAGTAACTTACTGATAATACTAAGGTCTCAGCATACAATCAATATGAAAAGTCAGTTGAATTTTCGGAAACCTAACAAATACTCAGTAAATACTTTTTAATCACAGAAAACAATTTAAAAACATATTCCACTTAAATGACTCATAAATAAGATATCTAAATTTAAATCTAGCAAGAGATAAGGCCTTGTAGAAAACAAATACAAGGCATGATTAAAAGGCACTCAAAGGACCTCAGCAAATGGAGAAATATGCTGTGTTCATGGGAAGGAAGGCTCAACCTTTCGTAATTTGTGAATTCCCTCCCAGTTGACCTAAGAGCTAATGTAATGGCAATCAAAATACTAACAGGCTTACTGAAACAGGGCCGCTGACTCTGCTACATATGTAGGAGAACAAGACCATCAAGGCACTTCCCAGAAAAGAAAGGAACCAGGCACGAAACTAATAATGAAGCCACAATAATTAAGATAGTGCTTTTTTTTTTTTAGAAGGAGTAACTTTTTTTTTTTAAGGTTTTATTTATTTTTGCACACTGAACTGGGATGCAGGCCAGAGGTGCAGAGGCAGTGAGAGGATTTGCCAGAGACAGAGTAGAGGGCAGAACAGGCAGATTGACTGAAGTACACTGTTGAGGGGAGCAGTGGGCAGGTCAGGAGAAGTCTGCTGTACCGTGTGGGTCAGCTCCAGGGCTGGGGATTGAACTGGTAAACTGAAGCAACTGAGGGTCATCAGTGCTGTGCTTTAACCGCTTGCGCACCGAGGAGGGCTCAAGATAGTGCTCTTTTGACACAGGAAGAGCCAAATGATTAAAAGAACAAAAGGGAAAGCCCAGCAAGATGCAAGAACTTGTGGCACTTGATAACTGAGGGAGGAAGCAGAGCTGAGCAGGGAGAGAAAGCCTGCTGAAATTAAATAAATAGGTGAGTTTCTCCTGGTAAGTTGTGAGAAATAGGGAAGAAGTAGTTCCCCTTAGAGTCCAGTATCTCGTTCAAGGTGAGAGAGAGGTGGGGCATCAGTGTTTGGCAGCCTGCATGGTCATAGCTGACTCACACAGAACTGTCCCTGCCCAGAAAGTGTTTAGATTTTAAGAACAGGATAGTAGCAAGGTCTCCAGGTATCTCTCCACAGTTTATTAATTGGGGAGGGGGAGGGCTCTTTTTAAAAAAGATTTATTTAGGCCCTCCCTGGTGGCGCAGCAGGTTAGAGCACAGCACTAAGAAGCTTATGCCACTTCCTCATGAGTTCGATTCCCACCTGCCCCAGAGGAGATCCACATGGTGAGGCAGACCTCTCCTGACCCACCCACTGCTCCCCTCGGCAGTGTACTTCGTTGATCTGCTTGTCCTGCTCCCCACTCTGTCTCTAGTGAATCTTCTCACCTTCCACATCTCTGGCCTGTACCCCAGTTCTAGATGAATAAAAAAAAGATTTTATTTATGTATTCATATAGAACTGGCACACAGACTAGAGGTGCAGGGGTGGTAAAGGATTCACCAGAGACAGTGGAGAGCAGAACAGGCAGACTGATGAAGTATACCGCTGAGGGGAGCAGCGGGCAGGTCAGGAGCATCCTGTGGATTACCTCCTGGGCTGGGGACCGAACTTGTACTAAAGTGGCCATGGCCAGGTTGCAGTGCTGAGCCCTAACCCGTTATGCCACCAGGGAGGGCCCTTCTTTTTTTTTTTAAGTGCTTTTAAAGTGGATAAATCTGAAAGACAAGTTACCTTAATGGATTCATTAAGTGGATAGCCTCCCAAGTGGAGAAAACTGGTATTAGACACTCCCCCATCGTTGCATTGAAAAGCAACACAACTGCACATATATAACATTCCTGCCAAAATCCCATAATCAAAATCTAATTGGGAAGTAACTTGCCTTGAAGAAAATTGTGAAGAAAACCCACATTGAAGGATATTCTACATAGTTGGATATTCTACAAAGTAATTGTTCTGAACTGTTAAAAAATGTCAAGGTCGGGTCCTCCATGGTGGCACACGGGGTTAAAGCGCAGCACTAAGAAGCTAAAGCCACTTCAGCATGAGTTTGATCCCCACCCCAGAGGTGACCCACACAGTGCGGCAGACCTCTCCTGACCCGCCCACTGCTACCCTCAGCAGTGTGCTTCATCAATCTGCCTGTTCTCCCCACTCTGTCTCTGGTGAATATCTCACCAGTCCTGCACCTCTGAGGGTATCCTAGTTCTGTATGCATAAATAAATAAATCTTTAAAAAAAAAAAGGTCAAGGTCAAGAAACAAAGGTAGATCAAGGAGGTATTCCAGATTTAAGGAGACTGGCCAGCCAACTGAATATCTGTGATCCTGGATTAGATCCTGGGGAAGGGAAGGGGCAGGCAGAGGCGTGGAATAGGGTAGCCATAACAGATACTTTATTAGGGCAACTGGTGAAATTAGAAAATGAACTGTAGATAGCAGCATTTCAGCATTAACAGGTTCTGATTCTGACATCTGAATCACCTTGTTTTGAGAAGGCACACACCTGAGTACTAAGAGGAAGTAGACACAGGTAGACGCAACGGTCCTGATTATGTCTGGTCCCCATTAGAAGATGGGATCGTGGACCTGTGTGTCATTTACTCTTAGCAATAATATATGTATGTATGTGTGCTTGTGTGTATATATATAACTTTAGCAATTATATATATACACACACACATATGTATAGATAATATATTTTGTCCTTATGACATTATAATTTAAAAGATAATAAAAGGAAAATAGACAAAAGAGAATAAGGCATGAAGCAGGTGTGATCTGATGCTCCATGTATGATTGAGCCTTTATGTCTCTTTTCCTCTCTTAGGTTGTTTCCTTGTTTAAAAAAACAAGATCCATTGTGAAGTGCTTGGCAATAAGTGTGCATGAAGTAGTAGCTGCTATTTCTTTCTGTGAGGGAGCAGCAATAAGGGATGGCTTGATAAAAGTCATAGGGGCATAGAATAGTCTTTATGGTCAATGTTATGAAGGTTATTTACAGAGTAAAACTGAGCTAATGTTGGACATCATGGAAGATTTCTAGAGTCAGTGAATTTTGTGCATTTTTCCAACCTGCCATCCATAGTCTGGATATAAGACTGGGGGAAAAAAACTGATAATTATGTTGGGAAGTCTAAAAGATGTTTGGAGAACAAGTGAAGGTTGCTGAGAGTGAGACTGTTAAAGCTGGTTAAGGAATCATGCCTAATCAATAAGTGTTCTCTTTTCCAGATGTTTTGTTACTGGAAACAAACAAAAAAAACTGTTTTCTTTTTGTTTAGAAACAATTTCTGCAAATACCAGAGTATCGAATTTCTTCAGAAACAATTTCTGCAAACACTAGACTATCAAATATAGTATGGGAAAACAATGATCAACATTCAAAATTTACATACATATTAAATACATATCAAAATTTTTTCAGAAACAATTTATGCCAATAATATAATATGACAAGACAATGATCAACAGTCTCAATTTATATACATATCAAAAAGTGCTTTCTTTTTTACATGTTTTAGAAAAACAAGGTTAACAGTTGTGTTTATGTGCAAGGTTTATCTTTTTCCAAGTGACAATGCTTCCTTCCTAGTTTTACTTTAGTATGTATACCAAATTAGACAAATTGATCTGAATGCTTTTCCCAGGGGGAAAAAGAGAAATTTTGTGGAGTGTCACAGGAGCTCTACTGAGGTTCCACAAAACTTCCTTCAATGAACTAAATGACAAACTAGCAAATTTCAATTCAATTTGGAATTCTGGGAAGCTTTGTCACAAATATGAAGAAGAAAAAAAATAACAGCAAAGACAATCCCAATTGTGTGAAAGCTCTGGCTCAGTTCAGTAAGACAATTGTTGACATTCAAACCATAGCCATGTAGTTTTCCTATTTTCTTATTTTATAACTAGAGACTCTTTTTTTCTCCCAAAACCTTAGTTATGTCAAACTTCAATTTGCCTGACATTATGAACCTCAAATAAGAGAAAAATACACACATATATATATACATATATATATACAAACATACATACCAATATCTGTTTTGTCATTTTTTTAAAAAAAAATTAGTTACCATAAAGATTACAATTTCATTTGTTTGTTTACAATAGCAATAGGCGTCATCCAAACCAATTTAGAACACCTTGAGGCCAAGACAATTAAACATAAGTAGAAGGCATACAGACATTCAGCATATAGACACAGACGGTATTCTTAGTTATGCCATGTGGAATCATATTTAACTGCAGTTTTACTAATATAGGCCAAAAATGATTTTAAAAACAAACAAAAAGAAATAGGAGAAAAAAAATTACAAAAAAAATATCAAGAACAAGACTGAAGGCCTTATTTCCCTAAGGGGAAATGAGGAGACCAAATTTTCTCTGGACTTGACCTACATGCTAACAAGGTCGATAGTAGATCACTTGACAAATGAAAATAGGTGCTGATCTTGGTTTGTTTTCATTCATGACAGAGGGACTTAACCACATCAGTCAAAACAGGGTTTCAGTTTTAGACCTTCTCAATCATGATCTTTTCAGAATTCTTACAGGTTCACAAGTAGGCAGAGGTTTCTGTGAATCCTAAAAGTCATGTAGAGTCAACAATTTTAGATTTTGACTCTTTTTTGCCCACTCTTATAGAAATTAGAGTGCAAAGATGCATAATCAGGTAGCTTTAGCTTTAGCTCACAGTTTTAGTGTAGAAAGCATGGGACAGGTTCAACAAAGGGTTATACAGAGTTTCTCAAATTTAAGAGCTATTGGCATTTTAAATAGGATCATTTCTTGTCGTGAGGGAGTATCTTAAACTCTACCTGACAGATGCCAGCACCCAGCCTCCCTCTACTGGTTACAACCACAATAAAGCCTCAGAGGTTGTGAAATGTCCCTAGGTGGGAACTGATAGAATGCAACAGTGTGCGGCCACCGGAAAGAATGGGCTAGCTCTATAAATACTGATAGAAATTATTTCCAAAATAAAATAGTAAGTGGAAAGTAAAAGATAAAAAACTGTGTAGTTTGCAAATACCGTAGTGATTGCAAGAGCCTGCATGTTAGAAGTCAATGTACTTGGAATTGAACCCCAGCTCTTGCTGTGTGACCTCATAAAATTACGAAACTCCTCTATTCCTCTAGTTATTTATTTCTAAGAGATACTAGCACAGGGTTAAGTACATATCATAGAATTAGTGTGAGGACTAAGTATTTAACATTTATGCAAAATGCTTAGAAAATTGTCTGGTATAAATGTTGTCATTTGTGATCATCATCACCATCATTTGTGAAAACAGAGTATCCACAAACTGGAAAAATGAAGAAAAATGGTAACACCGTTTTCCTAGGGGCCATAATATGACTGAGAGTTGGGGAAAATATACTTTATATTGGATGTTCTTTGGAGACTTGCATTTTTCTACTATGATCTATTAAACTATTTTTTATAATTTAGTTTTAAAAGACTTTTTAAGCATATGTTATACTCCTAGCTTACATTTTTTAATAACATAAATTGTAAGTTCAGAGTAGCTGTTTTTCTTCTGCTGCTGCTACAAAATAGTCAAAATCTGTTTATAACGTCATAATTGTGCCTATTTTTTTTTTTATTCCTGAGAGTAGAAAACAGAGAGCTTCATTCATTTCCATTCACTTTAGGAAAATAACAATTTTATCTGACCTTATTGGCTAAGCATCTTATTTTATAGTTAATTTGATGTTCACAGGATAGAAGAACAAAGTGACAGATAGGTCAAAATAATGTGTAATTTTCCAGTGTGACTTTATGTTGACATTTGCTGTCAGCATGTTTTATCATCACAAATGTCTGCTAAAATCCCTCTAAGAGTGGTGAGCCAGTGGAATTAAATTCAACAAGTAATTGGCTGCAATCTGTTAGAGCATGTAGTTCTCACAGCGACACAAATGCATTTATTTGAAAATGTTTACAACTAAAAGCCCACTCCAGCGAAATATGAGCATTAATGAATTATTAAAAGGGAAAGAAGGGAAAATGTGGGTTTCCAGTCCAGCATGTAAGGAACTTAGAACTCACCACTCTGTCTGCACAAGGAAGAAGCTGAGAAAACTAAACAATCAGCAATTCCTTTAGATTCTTCAAAGAAGTAAAGTCACAGAGCTAACTGCTATGCTAAAAACTAGAAAGAGGGACAAGCAGATATTGAAAATCACAACTTACCAGAATAAAATTCTCCATGGGAACCAGGGCTGGAATGACATAATTATCTATGTAAAGAAATATGAAAGAATCATATTTAATGACTAATTAAATATGAAAAAAGAAACCATTCTGGAATGAATAAGTGATTACAGCAAGCTTGCAGGATATGAACTTAATATACAAAATTGCTCCTCTGTATACCAATAATGAACAAGTGGAGTTTGAAATTAAAAACACATTACAACTTTCATTTGTACTCCCCAAGATAAAATTCATAGAAGTCTAACAAAATATGTATGAGATCTATATGAGAAAAACTATAAAATCTCATGAAAGACAGTGAAGAGCTAAACAAATGCAAGGACAATCCACTTATTGAGGAATAAATGGAAGACATTGTCAAAGCATCACTTCTTCCCAACTTCATCTACAGATTCAGTGCAGTCCTGATCCAGCAAGTTATGTTATGGATATCAACAAGTTGATGTAAACATTTATGTGGAGAGACAGAACATCCAGGATAATAAACTCAATATGGAAGAACAAAGTCAAAGGCAATAATAATCACAACAGCATTGTGTGGGTGAAAGAAGAGGCAAGTGAGTCAGTAGAATAGAGACCAGAAATAGATCTACATAAATAAAATCAACTGACCTTTGATCATAGAACAAACTGGAACAATTGGTTTTCCATTCATGCAAAAGAATGGATGTAGATAAAGACCTTATACCCTTTCTTAAAATATATTAAAATGGATCATAGACCTAAATGTAAAATGTAAAACTAAAACTTCTATGAGATCACAGGGAGGAAGCCTAACTGACTTTAGGTATAGAGATGACTTCTTAGATATTGCACAATCCATGAAAGAAATAATTGATCATTTGGATTTTACTAAAATTAAAAATATGTACTCTATTAAAGGTAATGTCAAGAAAATGAGGAGGTAAGACACAGGCTGGAAAAAAAATATTTGCAAAAATCACATCTAATGAAGACTTGTTATCGAAAATATACAAAAGACCCCTCTCTTTTTCCCTCTAGAATTATTTGGCACATTTACATGTAGAAAATATTAGGAACCACTGGGTACTCTTTCTTTCTCTCTGTAATGGAAGCATCTGAACTATTAACATTTGGATAAGGATACAGTTGTAGATAGCACAGCAATTTCCAAACTGAGAGATTCCCTTCTTTGCCTCGTTTGCCCCAGAAATTGCTAGTTGTGCAATATTAACCCCCTTCTCCTCAGGGAACACTCTACTGATGCCTCGACATGACATTCATCTTCACTATACATAGACCCTTTGCCAACCTTGCTTGAAAATCCATTCATGTGTAAGCTTTATTTGATCAATCCAATTGGCAGCCCAAACTCCTTCTAGTCCTGCAGTCAAATTTTGGAGCATGACCCAAACCTTAGTAAAACAACCCATGCATAATAACCTAATAATCAAGATGAAAAGCTTACTCTAAGTTAGGTCAAAATTACATTTATATATAACATGTAAATGTATGCAAAATATGTGTATATATATATATATATATATATACACACATATGTATATATATAATATATGTTGCCATGTCTTCCAACTCAGAAAATGAAATTGTCATTAAGGAGGGTGAATTAGATCTGTCTTGCTCATGTCCCCTCAACTAACAAGATATTAAGCTCACAGCAGGAACTCAGTATATGTTTCATGGAATGAGGAACCCCAGGGAAGGAAAGAGAAGTGAAGAAGGGGTGGGAGAGGAGGAATAAAGAAGAGAAAAGAGATGAGTAAAACTGAAACTTTAGAGTCAGAAGTACAAAGGCAGGAATATCGCATGGTTTCATTTTGGGGAGTAGGGCTCTCCTATTCAGCTCACAGGTAATGGGATTGTACTTGGGCTAAAATTGCTTAATACTTTTTATATCAATCACACAGTTTGAATACATTACAAACATGCTTTCTAGTTAACTTTCAAAATTTTTAAAGTGTTTAGTTCATACACAGACATTAAGCATCTGGGAAAACCTCAAATGAAGCATAAATTCATATATGCATGCCAATTCAAAATTTAGCATTTAGACTTGTCCGTGGGTAGGTATTGACCAAACAATTAGTTGGTTTAATTTATTAACTTAATAATTGTGTAATCTTAACAGGAAATAAGATGGTTATTACTCTATTTTAAATATAAACATACCTCTTTGGAACTGACTACTTACCAGATAGTGCAATTATAGTATACATACATGGTCATAAACAAGAACAGAATTAATGTAGTAAAATGTAAAAGTAAATCCAGAGTCAGTAATTGTCCTGCTAATTTAATTAAATCCAATGAGCCAGAATTTGGAAAGTCTAAATGATCTGCTTTCCCTTAGAAAAAGTCCCAATTTTCTTCTTCACTTTGTACCTGGTAAACTTAGTACAAAGGTAGTTGTTTATAATTTAAAGTGACCTATTTTACATGTTCTTTCAACAATACTAATTCCTTTAGAGAACTACTACGCAGAAGCTGTGCTCAACTCATAGATCTTTTTTCATTGAAGAAACACTTTCTTGTTTTTTTCTTTTATGGGATGGTTCCTTTTTAAAACCATTCCAGTTATCCACGTACTTATCTTTCACATAGGATCATAATTTGTGTGGTTGTTTCATGGACTCTGGAAAGGATGCAGTATTTGACTACAAGAGAACACCAAAGGACCTTTAATTCTGGAATTTCTTACCCTATGGTCATAAAAACAGGTTAGGATTATGGAAGGAAAAAGATTACAAGGCAGTGTCTATAATCTTAGGCAAAACTATACCCTAAACTAGCTATAAAAATAAGTCTTTAAAAGCATCACACTCAGAACTATGATTTTAAACCCCTTAATTTAACAATGCCTTTGAAGGCAAAAACTTCTTGAACTTTAAATAGCTTTTAACTTTTAGCTCTACTCTCTCATTGAGTTTTCCAAGTCCCAGAGTCACAATTTGTGACTTACAAATAGTATTTGTAAGAGCAGCCCCACTAAATATGCCTGACTGGGTCCTTGCTAGTAAGCGTGGGCACTTGGTCTAGAAGTAAACTCCATATTAGAGGCCAGAAAGCAAGGCATGATGAACCCAGTGGGCAGAGCAAAGGCTGAGGACCAGAGATCTGCTCCCGCAAGATCTTTACCTTTCTCATGTTGAATTTGTAAACATACTAAATAATGTGGAAAGAAGATTGCAAAGGAACTACTTCTTTCTTTTTTTAAGAATGATGTGACATATACTTACTCAGAATCTCATAAGAAGGATAGGTTAATTAATGTTATTGTATTGATTGCAAAAGGAGAAAGTACAAGCTGGTAAACTTTAAAATACATTTCAAAACAAACAAACAAACAAACAAACAGATACTACCTGTGTGAGAGACTCTTAGGCCCAGCACACTAAGAATCATCTGGAAAACTTAAGTAAAATATAATTCCTGGGCCCTCTCCCCTGAGATTCTGATTTAACTGTACCGCTGCAGGGTTTGAGCTTGGTGATTTTAAAGTTACCAAGATGCTTTAATGGACAGTCAGGATTGATAACAGAATGGGGAGAAGAACAGAGAGAGATGAAGTACACTTCTGAGGGGAGCAGCGGACGACACAGGAGAGGTCTGCTGCACCATGTGGGTCACCTCCCTGACAAGGTCTCAAACTTGTGCTGAGGCTAGCTGTGCAGTGCTGTGCTTTAACCTGTTGTGCTACCAGGGAGTGCTTGTTTGGGCAGATTTTTTTTTTTTTTTAAGATTTATTTATTTGTACATACAGAACTGGGATACAGGCCAGAGACTCAGGGGCAGTGAGAGACTTCACCAGAGATAGAGTGGGGAGCAGAACAGGCAGATCAACGAAGTACACTGCTGAGGGGAACAGTGGGCGGGTCAGGAGAGGTCTGCCACGCCATGTGGTCTCCTCCGGGGCAGGCGGGAATCGAACTCATGGGGAAGTGGCTTTAGCTTCTCAATGCAGTGCTTTAACCCGCTGCGCCACCAGGGAGGGCCTGTTTGGGCAGATTTTTAATCGAAGGAACTGGTTGCTGTAGCAAAAACCTTTGCCAAGGCTCAGCACAGTACCAGGGACTTGTTATACTCTGAGGATACAAAAATACTTGAAATTAAAGACTTCATAACTTGTAGTTTCATAAAAAAAAAAAGTAATAAAAAAAAAAAAACTTCCCATATGTTTCCTGAAACTTACTGATTTGGGAAATACACTGTAATTTCAAAAATGATCATAAGTGGTAATAACAATGAAAATATTTACTCATTGGAACTGAGGTTTCATGGCTTGGGGATTTAGGTCAACACTGGAATCATGAGATCAAAGTGGACAGCTAAAAACCTCTTTTTCAGAGTTATACACAATCAGTGTTAATGAAAAGCATCAGAGGAACAATGTCCACCCTTAGCCTGAAAAAAGCCAAGAGAAATTTCAGAGCCATAGAAGATGGCAGTCACAAACTCTGAAAAACAAAATGCAGACAAAACACCTCAGATTCGTGCTGCATGAGCGTCAGGGAGGGGCCAGCAGCCAAGAGAGAAGTTGAGGTGTGAGATGATTTTGAACAATTAGAAATAAGAAAGTTGAAAAACTCCCCAACTTACTCAGACAGAAATTAAATGTGATTTTATTCTTCTTGATTTGTTAAAATAAAAATGCACTCCAGAATTAAGGGGCATTTTCAGTAGATGAATTAAAAACCTTAAAATTTGAATTCCCAGTTGAATGGATTTGCTCCACCAAGGGGATCTTTCACAAAACCGAGAGCTGGATCTTGAAAAAGCATAGACAGTATCTTGGATTCTATTTAAAGACCCAAATTATAAATATTTGCAAATTGCTAGCATTACAGACAGCAGTAATGTAGATTGGTCTAATTAGAACTAACAATTAAGTTTCACAAGGTAAATCCAGAGAGAGGCTATTACCTAGTAAATAATGTTGGTAAAATATATAAAGGTAATACATATAAAATGAATCTCTATTTAATAGTCCGTATGTAAAATGTGTTTCTTTTTGAGGACCCTGTAGCATTTAATTTTAGTTCCCTATACTTGATTTCTTTACAAGGCGATTTTAATTACGAATTACCTGAAGGAAGAATTCTTGATCTCTTTAGAATAGTCCACTGTTCCCATAGATGTGACTTTACTGCCATCACCCCTACTAGTCATTTGCTGTTCATAGTGATGAGACAATTTTTGGGCACTGTTACATACCAGGTCTTTAATGTGCACTAAGCACTTTTAAAATATATTATCTCATTTAATCCTCACAATGAACCTATTTATTGCTATTTTAAGAATGAGAAAACTGAGGCTAAGTAAGATTTAAAAATTTGTCTGAGGTCCTAGAATTGGGAAGAGACAGACGCAAAGCCAAAATTCTTTATTTCTTTTACTCCAAGGTCAGTAATACATATTCACTGTAACAGACGTCTGAAATGTAGAAAAGCCAAAAAAGAACGAAAAGGCTGAACTCTGAACTGTTGAAGAATTTTCTTTTTTTTTTTTTTAAAGATTTATTCATGTATACATACATAACTGGGATGCAGAACAGAGGTATGGTGGGGGGGTGGTGAGAGGGTTTACCAGAGACAGAGTGGGGAGCAGAACAAGTAGATCTACTGAAAAACACTGCTGAGGGGAGCAGCAGGGATACAGGAGAGGTCTGCTGCACCATGTGGGTCAGCTCCCTAGCTGGGGGTCAGAGCATGAGCTACAGTGGCTGCAAATAGCTAAGACTTAACCCTTTGTGCCACCAGGGAGGCCCTGAAGAATTTTCGTTGCATTTTCCTCCAGTCTTTTCGCCCTGCCTTTTGCACAGGCACTGGTAGTCTTAAGCACCAACGTCTGGTCCCCCTTTGCCTCCACCTCTGTGATTGAAGTCTGCCTAGTGGAAGCTTCCCCATCATTCATGCCCCCTACACCTTCCTGCACAAGGACGGCCACGCCGTGCGCAGGGCAACCCCCCAGCCTTGTACTCCCCCCTGTTCAGAACTGGCCTCCCCAAAATGTGCCATTTAGGTGTGTGGATTATTTTGAGGTGAATTAAGGCCATACAGGTTCATGGTCAACATTCACCATTACCTTAATTACATAACGAATTTAAATAGGAGCTCTTACCCAGAAATTAATCTAAAAATAGCCTTTTTATCAAAGAAAGCTGTGTTTATGGCAGGGCAAACATTTAACTAAGGGGCATGTGGTCTTCATCATAGGAGCCCCCTCCTCATTATGTGAATCTTCTCCTCTCTTCTGGAAGCTCCATGTCCCTACCTGGAAGTTCAGGATATTTAACTTCATTTTGCCTCATTGTCTTTGGAATCCACATCTGTATGGTTCCCCACATGCATGTAGGTAAATTTGTTTTTTCCCACTAATCTTTGTGATGTTAATTTGATTATTTGACCAGCCCAAGAACCCAGGCAGGTGGTAAGGCAGGGGAATATCCTCTCTCTCCTGCCACTCTTCCTTATCAGAAAAATGGCAAAAAAATGAAGAAAAACCCAAATGACCAGACAGACTGAGGCCCTCTTCAGAACACACACACGTCACATAATGAATCATTGGCGATGGTGTCTTAGCTCTTAAAGAGTGGAGATCAAAGTTGTCCCACCCCAGGTCTCTGGGGAATGGGTAGAGAGCAAAACAGAATCTTTAAAGTTCAACAACAGTCTAACCAAGTATGCCTTGTTCACTAACAAAGCACGTACAGCTTGGAAATGTCTCACTAGTAACTTTATTTTTGAGTCACTGTTGTTGAAAACACATTTCAGAAAGCATAGGCCCCTCTAAGTTCTTTGAAGAGCATTTTGCAAATAGCTCTAAGAATGTAACATACACTAACTCTTTAATCAGCAGTTTCATTCCCAGAGATTTATTCTGCAGACCTAGTCAAACAAGTACACAAAAATGCATGTACGAGGATATTGGTAGAGCAATTTTTATAAATGAAAAGATTTAGGCTCCACTTACCTGTCCATCAGCTGTAGGTGCGGGGCACAGAAGAGGCGGTCGCCACCAAGAACTTCGTTCAGTGCTGTCCGGCCTGCCCTGCAGTAGCGGTTTCAGTCCAAAGCTCTGGCATGGGTCCATTGCTGCCTCGGACGTATCACTGAGGGATCATAAAATTAGTTTGGTTTGTGCTGGCACAGCAGGAACAGCTAAGTGGAGGGCCAGCTGAGCTCTGTCATCATTGTTTCGTTGAAGTGTTCCAAAAGCACCATAAAATTAATCTACCTTTCATTTCTTTTTTCCACTGGAACTCTTATAGATGTGATTCTCTTTCCCCAGTGTTGCAAAATACTGTGTTACAATATTCTGTGTTCACCTTACAATTTCTCTTGCAATTACTGTGGTGGCTGGGCATTCAAATCAGATTTTCAGACCCTAGAGCTACTTCGGGGGCCTTCCAGAATTTCCAGAGTGTCTAGGAATTATAGAAACGTGGAGAAAAGAGTCACTTTCCCCAAGGGAAGATCCATGGCAGGGATTATAACGTGCTCTATCATGAAGGTCAGACATTTCAGAATGTGAGCAAAATAACTCTTTTTCAAAGTAATTGAGCATTAACTATTCCAGATCTTTGAATGGGGATTCCAGACAGACCTGTGTGTGTCCTAGACATTGTTACCTTCTTTCACAAATGGGACAACACTCTGTGAAGACAAGAAGGATCAGCTCAGAAATCAATGTCTGGACTGTATATTTACTTTAAATAAATATCATTTCATTACTTTCCTATAGTGACTGGCATGTATCTACCATAAGAATCATGCTAAAAATCATAACAAAATATCCAATTTTACATTATGGCATGAACTATACTCAAATTGAACTCCTAGGATTTGAAAACAATTGATTTAAAAGTCTCTCAAATCTTACACCCATTGTAATTTCCATATCACACCATTTTGATAGGGAAAAGGAAATTCCACTATAACCAAATCCATTGGCTTTTATCACAAATTCTGAATGAGGGAAAGTGTGACACTTAAGGTTGGAAGAGATCTTCAGGGTTGATCTGGTTGGTGCAGCCCATGCTCTGTATCACCCCTGCTACTCTGTGAGTGTACATCTGCTGAGGACAGGCTGTATGCCAAGCTCAGAGTAGCTGGTTTCTAGACTGTTCTGAATATAGCTTCAAAAGGAGTCACTCCCCACCTCCCAGAGCAGCCCACTCCTCCTTGACTAGCAGCTCACTAGTCTCACCCAAGCTGACAGCAACATGTCTTGTGAACTGTTCTCACCACACTGCCACTGGCCTCCCTACTGTGAAACACACACCCTGCTTTTAATTTCCTATTGCTTGAACTACTTGGAGCATTGAGCATAAGTGGTCACACCAGTTTTGGAACTTCTAGTCTAATTTCCTTCCAAATTAGATCAGAGCCCCTAGTTAAAAGTTGCTACTGAGCCCTCCCTGGTAGTGCTACAGGTTAAAGCACAGCAGTGCAAAACTAGCTGTGGGTTCAGCATGTGGCAGGGAGCTGACCCACATGGCACAGCAGACCTCCCCTGTCTTGCCCAATGCTCCCCTCATTAGTGTACTTTGTCAGTCCACCTGTTCTGCTCCCCACTCTGTCTCTGGTCAATCCTCTCACAACCACATACCTCTGGACTGTACCCCCAGTTCTGTATACATAAGTAAATAAATATTTACAATTAAAAAAAAGTTGCTATAATCATCACTGTTTTACCTACAGTTCACTTATGAGTATTTTGTCAATCAGTGCTTGGGAGTGTGGGCCACAGGGCCAGGCTAGCTGCCTGGGTTCCGGCCCAGGTCCAACATGCGCTAGCTGTCAACCTAGGGTAGCACTTCATTTCCTGCTCTCCAATGAGAGGGTTAATAATTGGTTCCTGCCTCATAGCTTGCCGTTTGAGTACTAAATGAGTTAAATATATATATTATATGAGTATGCATGTTATATATAAATATACATATATAATGTATAAGTATTTTACATTCCATATAAACATATAGTATATATAAGTATATAAATATTATAAGTATTTATATTTTATACTTTATATAACTATATAATTTTATAAACTATAATATTTATAATGTTATAAAACAAGGTAACTGGCACATTGTAAACACTATGTGTTTGTCAGTTAAATAGGTTGATTAAAAACTGTGGACTCCACAAGATGATAATTCCCATGAGGAGAAGATGAGACCATGTCTTCTCTGCTGGCCACTCTATGTCCACTGCCCTGTTCATCAAAGTGTTTATTGAATGAATGAAGGAACAGGTGTACAGGTGAAAGAGGAGTCAAATGATGTGAGATTGTCCTTTCACCTTATAGAGCAGGAGGGTACCCTCCCAAGGGTCTTCCCACATCTGGCCCAAATTCTAGAAAAGTCCCCTGGGTGCTCACTTCCTCCTTGACAGCACTCAGCTAAGGCCCCTCATCATCTTCTCCTGACATTCTTCTTTCTGGTGACAGAAGCTGAGCTTTGCCTAATGCTTTGGCCCCTGGGGTCTTGGCAATCTGAAGCGACCTCACGCTCCATTGTAGTGAGCAGGCTTCCCTCTGAGCCTTCCACTAAGGCGGATGACAGTGGGGTGTGTTCAAGCTGACGCTGGTGCCCTGGTCTTCCTGCTCACGGCACGCGATGCCATTTAGCATCTAGAAATCCACAGTTCTTGGGTGAAGGTGAAGGGATTAGACAACCCAGTACTCTGAGTACTTCCCACTGTCTATGGCTGTGAGTTGGGGTCTGTCCTTTTCGCCCGCGGAAGGCGCGGCACCTGTGTGAGGTGTGCCGAAGGGCATTTGATAAAGCCATTTTGCATCAGCAGCTTGCCTGCTTTGCGTTGTTGTTGCTGTGCTCCTGGCATCTTTTAAAGGGAGCACTTTATTCCATTTAGATCCTGCAAACTCTGGTCCTTGCCAGAAATTATGTGGGCAAGGAAAGATCTCAGGGCTGTAAAATCAGCAGTGTTAGAAAATGATGGCAAAGAGCTCCCATAGTCTCCTGGCTAAGAAACAAAAAGGTCTGAAAGGAAATGGCAACTGCAAGTAGACTCTGGCAAAGTCTGTCTCGTCACGTGGGCCTCAGCCATTCGGCTGTGAACGTGTCCCCGTCAACACCTAGGAGGAACAAAGGAACGTTCCAGCACAACACATTTGTAAACATCAAAATGGGTGTGTCTCTGTGTTCATCTCTGTGGGGCAGAACTGTGAGGACAGCTTAGGAGGAGCCAGGCCTCCCAGCACTTCGAAGCCAACGATTTGGTCCAGCAGAACCACAGAATGACCTCCGGTCAAAAGTCACAAAAAGGGTTCTTTAAATTAATCATTGCTCACCAACACAAGCTCCCTGCTGGGTGGTTACCTTGAAATGACGTGTGTGTGTGTTTTAATCTTCAAAACGTTCAAACGCTTACACACACACACACACACACACACACGCACACACGCACCACATTTCCAAGTTAGCATCTGAGAATGTTTTTTAATGTTACTTTTGCTATTGTTGTTAAAGATTTAGCTGGTGCTGCTGTTTGCTGTTTACCTGGCACCACAATTTTAAATTTTGTACCAAAGGGACTCAACACTTCAGCGTACTAAAAATAATGAGATCTTTTTTTCTCTGACTTAACAGTCCCACAGGGCAAAAAAGGGGGCTGCTCTGCCCCATATCCTGATTAAGGGACCCACGTTCTCGCCACCTTTCTAACTTACTTCCCTGGCTTTCAGCTCCTCATGCGTCCCTGGCACACATCGGCTCTTTCCCACCCAGTTATGGGGACTAGCTCTCACTGTCAGCCCTGACTCTCATGCTTAACTTACAGACTTACAGACTCAGGCCTTGAGCTGTTTTTTCTTTGCTTTCGTCTTCTTCTTCTTTTTTTTTTTTTTGTATTTGTACGTCACTATCCCTAGATAATCTCATCCAGTCTGGCGGTGTTAAATAACATCCATATTGATGAATTACAGATAAGACTCTCTGCATCCCGCTTCTGCCCTGCAGATCTGAACTTTCACTGGCCATGTAACACCTCAGTGGATTCAAATAGCCATTACCTAATTTTCCAAGATCCTCAAGGCAGAAATCTTGGTGTCACCCTTGACTTTTTTTTAAATCTCCCTCACACCCCATACCTAGCCCTCAGCAAACACTCTTGGCTTGCTGCCTTGTCTAATTGGCCTCATTTAATTTTCTATAATGGCCTGATATCTAGTCAGCATTTCAGATCTCCCTGCCCTGCTTTATTTTTCTCCATAGCATCAGCTTGGGGGAAGGAGGGATGTGCTCTTTTATCCAGTGATACAGCCCCAGTTTTTAGAATGTGGTCTTCTGGGAGTGAACTCGCAGTCAGTCTTACTTGCCAGAGAGATTCTGTCATCGAGGCTGTTTTCCTGTGCTTGTATGCCAGAGTGGGTCCCAGAACACAATAAGTGTTTTAGTGTCTGCCTGGGAATGGCACCCACCACTTCCTCTGACGCCATTATTGGGCCTTCTACTCAGGCCACACCTTACTGCTCAGGGGTTGGAAATGGCACTCCTTGCTGGTAGGTCATGAGCCCTCCTATAGCTCTATGATCTAGCAGGGCGAACAGACACGGGGAGAAGCAGGGGTCTCCACCTTACCTGTAACTTGCATAATTTATTTTATCTAGAGTGACAGTGAACCACAGCACTCTGGGGTCCCACAAGTAAATCACAGGCTGCATGTGGACAGCTCAACTGTGCACAGACCTGAGGGTATTTTATAAACTATTGATCCCACTGGTTCCATAAAGCAAGGCTCTGCCATCCCACGTAATCCCAAATGCCTTAGACAGAAACTGGCCAGAGCATGTCACCTGTTATCTTCAGATTTTAATTGTTTTATTGCTTAGCACATCCTGCAAACGTTTTACAGAATATATTGAGAACTAGGGGGAAAAGGAAGTGTGAGTGACGACGTCTGAAATGAATCATGAAAGAAACTTGTCACTTTGTTTACTTTTCTTATCTCCTCAGTTACTGCAACTCTTGAAATAACAGAACTGTGGACCACGTTTCCTCCTTCTAGGAGGTTCTAGCAATCTATGGCATGATCACCGCAGAATGAGGCAGTCTACATGTTCAGTGTGTGGAGA